TGAAGTCGAAGTGCAGCAGCCGTATCCCGGCATCTTTATCTACAGATTCTCCGAGGGATTCAACTACCCCAACTGCAACCACTACACCGATTACCTTGTCCAGACAATCTTCCAACAGACCCGTCGTACGAATCCCTTCTCCTACAGCAAGCTTGGCGATCGGCCATGGAACAACCCTGGTCCTCGCCGTGGAAAGGAAGGAGAAGACCGGTCGCATCTGCCGACTCTCCGCGCGGTCATTCTTGATTTTTCGTCCGTCAATAACGTGGATGTGACTTCCGTACAGAATCTGATCGATGTGCGCAACCAATTGGATCACTATGCCGCTCCGCAGACCGTGCAGTGGCATTTCGCCCACATCAACAACCGCTGGACCAAGCGAGCCCTGGCTGCCGCCGGGTTCGGCTACCCGACTCCAGTCTCTGAAGACGGATTTCACAGATGGAAGCCTATCTTCAGTGTTGCCGAAATCGAGGGCAGTGCCTCCGCCGCGGCGCTCGCCGAGCTCGTGAACAACCAGCAGGCCCACAAGGCGGAGCAGAAGCACGGTGACATCGAAGAGGGTCTCAAGGACGACTCGCACGCAACGGAGCGCGAGACCCACGGCATTGAGACCCCATCCGACAGCAGCAGTACTGATGACGATAAACTGCAGCGCGATCTGACGGAAAGCAAGGCGTACCGGAACCGCCGTAAAGTGGCGCTCGTCCAGGGTCTGAACCGGCCGTTCTTCCATATCGACCTGACCAGTGCACTGCAGAGTGCATTGGCCAACTCGGCGCCGGAGCTTCATGTTGATCCTGCCGAGGTGAATGCCACGACCGATGCTTGAAATGCCTCCCTGGTTGGAGTTGAATGCCGTGCAGCTATATATGGATCTTGATCTAATGGTGCATTTTCTGTTTCTTGTTTATCAGCGAGTTCAGTTTGTCGGGATGGATATCCCGAGGTATACCCCTACAGTCATGGCTTTGTATATAGTCATAGAGTCATTGGATATTTGGATATAATGTCATGGCAATGAAGAAATTATCTCCAGAGATGTCAAATTTTCCCTGTTTTCCTAATATTTGCGGCTGAACGTGATTGTGGCAGTGCACCAGCCCTGGTACCAGGATAGGAGACACTTTTAAGTGCGCTAAAATTCTCATCGATCCACACAGCCCGATTCGAGAAGATTAAAGGTGCCCGATTAGTGGTTAGATATACTCCGCACTCGGTTGTCCGTGTGGCTGACGCTTATCCAGGCTTCAACTTTCGAATACGAGAGTTGCCTCTTTGGGAAACGAAGCACCGCGAGGGAATGGAACTGGTGACATAGACAACAGAGACCCTCCTCTATAAAATGATGTATGTCCTCCTCTGCTTACTTGTTCAACATATCACCTTCTGTTCCTCCTGATACAAATCGACATAGTCTGACTGCGCTTGCACTCCGATGTTCGCCGCCACAAAGTACATCTACAACAAGACACGGACACCATCCAAGTCTGGCGGAGAGCAAAAGCCGCGCTGCCAACACCGCTTACAATCGAGCCAGGCTGCAGCAGCAGCAGACGATGGCTTGTCTACGGAGCGAACCTCCATAAAGACAGAGGACCAGCACATACTCCCTCAGTCCGCACCAGACGACGACGCCAAATGCCACCTCTGCCAACAGCAGCAACGCCACGACCGCATCTACAGATGGAAACTCATCTGCGGTCTAACACTCCCATATATCCTCAGCACGCTGGATCTGACAATCGTCGCCACGGCCGTCCCCTCCATCGCATCCCATTTCAGTGCGTTCTCCCGTAGTCCTAACACTCACTTTCACAAAGTACTCACCTTTTCGTACCAGACAAATTCGACGAACTCAACTGGATCGTCACCGCGTTCACACTAACCTCGACAACATTCATCCCCATCTTCGGCCAGCTTGCCGACGTCTTCGGTCGGCATGCAGTGCTCCAGCTCGCCATGTTCCTGATGCTGGTGGGGAGTACGCTGTGCGCGGCGGCGCAGAGCTGGGGGATGCTGTTGCTGGGGAGGGCGCTGCAGGGGACGAGCTCCGCGGGGATTATGAATATCATTATGATTGTTCTGGCGGATCGGGTTTCGCTGAGAGAAAATGCGAGGAATAATTCGATATCTGTGTTTGTGGGAGGGTTGGGGTACGGGGTTGGGCCGGTTGTTGGGGGGTAAGTTTTTGGAGATTCCTCATCATGGTGATGCTAACGGTGATGCGCAGGTATTTGACCGATGTAAGCCTGAGACTTGGTTTTTTGGGCCTCTGACTGATGAGAATAGAGTAATTGGAGGTACTGCTTTCTGGTGCCCATACCGGTAAGTCTGGTCGTGGACGGCAGGGTCTGATGATGGAGCTAACCATCTAGTACATAGATTGCTTTTATATCGCATATCGTGATCTTCGTCCTCCTACGCAATGAGCTCGTGGAAGGAACCGTCTTCAAAAAAGGCTCGCGGTCGTCTACCGTGCTTCCAGCCCTGGCAACGCTAGACATCGTCGGGGCAGTCCTGTTCATCTTCGGCGTCGGCCTCATCATCCTGGGCACGGCATGGGGAGGGCCAACGTATCCCTGGTCTTCCCCCGAGGTTCTAGCGCCACTGATTGTGGGAGGCGCATGCTTTGTGCTGTTTTTCCTGTACGAGTACTTCCTCGAGCCTGGCAGATTGTTTGCTCGGATATTCCCAAAGCAGGTGCCCATGCTGCCGTATAGCATGTTCGCCAGACGCGATACGATCTGGCTTGCGGTTCTGGAGTTTTCCAGTGGAGCAGGTACTCATCTTTTCCCCTATGGTACAGGTACTGAACTGACGCTGGTACTACAGCTATGTACTCCGTCTTCTATTTCATCGGTATATATTTCACCCTAGTCGAAGCTTATCCTGCCTCGAGAGCAGGCATCAATCTGCTCTACTACATTCCAGGACTAGGAGGTATTTTCTCATGCTCCCCGCTCTAATTTCCTGAAACAAACTGACAGAAGAAGCCGGCGTCTACCTCGCCGTCTACCTCTGCAACGTCTACCCAGCCCAGACCTTCTTCACCATCAACACGGGCACAATCGCCGAAACCACCGGCTTCGCCCTCCTCATCTGGGCCATCAGCACGCAAAACACCGCCCTCATAAACGGGATGATGGTTCTCGCGGGCGCAGGCACGGGGCTCCGCCTCATGCCCGTAAACCTGCACACGGCAGGCGTGTGGCCCGAGAAGATCGCCCCAGCGATGTCGCTGATGCGATTTGCGCTGCCTTTTGGCGGCACGCTGGGGTTGACGATTATGGGGAGCGTATTCAATAATCGGTTTTCGAGGAACACCGGCAGCGGGGATATGGCTGGGCTGGACGTGCACGACGGCTCCTCGTTGGAATACATTGCTGGTCTGCCTAGTCCGGAGCAGGAGGCTATCCGAACGGCGGGCAAGGAGGCCATCATGTGGGCGTTTATCGCTATCATGCCGGTCATCGGGTTGAGCCTTGCGACGGGGTTGGTGATGGGTAATGTATGGATCAAGCCAGAGCGTTCGCGGCAGCGTCAGGAGCAGGCCGAGACCGGGGGTGAAGAAACAAGCGAGGGCGGCCACAGCGAGGTCATATACGTTCCGTACCTGTGGGCATTGCTAACGGTACTTCCCTTTCCTTTTGCCCTTCTCGTCGCATCCGTCATACAGTAAACTGACAGTGACAGGGAAACGTAACCGCATACAAACACACCAACAAGTCCAAGCCAAGGCACGAAGAGGAAACCGAACTCCATCCTCTCCCACAGAGCCAAGCATAGACATAGCATAGAATCTTTTTATAGAGACGTAGAAGATAATAATGATACACCATCCAAACCACCACCACACCTCTATACAACCCCCATGCAATCCAATCCAATCCAATCCAATGGAACCCAAAAAAGACTGATATCACCTCAAAACGCCCCCAAGCCACACATCCCTCCACGCGCCTCTCCTTCCTCCATTCCCCTTAACCAACCCCCTCTCATCAATCCCCGCAATCTCGCCCCCAACACCCGGGAAGAACACCCCAGCGCCCTTCCCACCACTCCGTCTGAGAACAAGCAGATGAAACAATCCCGACACGAGCACCGTCCCGAGGAGATAAAACGCGAAGCCGGTTGCTGATTGCAGCGCGAGGATTCCGGCTGTGAGGCCTAGGAGGAAGGAGGTGAGGGAGTGGAGTTGGGAGAGAACCTATTTCTGTTAACACTAATTCCATTCGACATTGACAAAGAGGGGGGCAGGGAGGAGTCTAACTCGGTTATTGTGTTGGACGGATTCCGGGACGAGCGGGTTGATTAGTAGGGAGAGTTCCTGTTTCGTGGCAGGCATTTTTCTGTCCTGGTTCCGGTTTCTGGTTCTTTCTTTCGAGGTGTAGTTTCCCGTGTGGTCAATTTGGCTGTAAAATCTTGATAATGATGGATATAATATGGTAACGAGTGATGTTTGAAAGTGATGTACGTCTCTAAAGTGGTGGGGATATGGTAAGTTGATAGACGGAGGTTGACGAGGTCCACCGCTGTCGAAGACTCCACCAGCCAATCACAATGCTTGTTGCCTCATCCTAGGCACTACAGGTTAAGGAAATTGACTACCTCTCTACCCACACTCCATTACACTTAAGACTGCTTAATCATGTCATATTAATTGATTATGTGCATAACATAACAGTAGTAAATCAAACACTGCACATCCTGGTCAGACAGACCTGTTGCTTTCATAACCCGTTTCCAGACATCGCCAGCACTTGAGACACAACCGGGCCTCTCAAATGCTGCTCGCCGTGTTGATCCGTTGATCGGCTGCGTAAAGCCAAAAAGCACGTCACAAAAAGTACATACATCTCTCCTTCCAAAGCTCATTCCAAAGAGATCGCTCATAGGTCGGATCCTGCCACTTATGCCAAGGTCAATCTAGTCAAATTAATGCAGTTGAGAGAATGTTAGAAAATGAAAAAGAAATGACAGAAGTAAATCCGTGTCATTTACGCAATGTTGTCGAGTTTTCCTTCGGTCTTGGCCTCCTTGACTTGCTCAAACACCTGTGATCGTCAGTAATACATCCCGCCACTTCAAGAGTTGAGCGAGACAAACCTTGAGCATCTTGTTCCGAGCGCCAAGAGCATTAACACCTCGATCCTCCAGAGCCTTGTCGTCGAGCTCAATCAGCTCGGTCCATTTGAGATCCTTGAGGTTATCCGTGTACTTGTGCAAGCGAAGAGATCTCAGCCAGCTGGGAATATCCTTCAGAAGATTCGGGTCGGTGGGATCCTCGGGCGGCTTGGAGCTGCCACGGCGACCCCGGGGAGAGCGGCCACGTGCGACTTCGGAATGATCAGAGAGGTAGCCCTCATGACCACCGAGCCCAAACTGGCTGAGACCCAGAGCACCCAATCCATTACCCAGTAACGGATTGTTGGGGTCATAAGCAGCCAGGAAGCCGTTGTTTTGCGGTGAGGTGAAGCCCATGGCTCCAAGCGCGCCTCCCTGCATGGCAATGCCTGGGGAGGTGGGGCGGGAACGTCGACCCGCCATCGCCGCCTGCTGTTGAGCTTGCAAGGCAGCTAGCTGTTGGGCGTTCAAAAGCTGTCCCGCAACTAGATGATTCGCTCCCGGAAGGCCGGGGCTTGCAAGACCGCCTTGCATGGTCTGGTTGACGTTGTTGTTGGAAGATCTGCCCTGTCCATCGTTTGAGCGAGCACGGCGGTACTTGCGTGCATCATCCAGGGCGATGCGGTTGTTGACCGTCGACAAAGCGGCCAGCTTCATCGCGGTGGCATTCGCGACCATATCCGCCTGCGAGTTCGGCGGCTGGTGCACCTGCTGACCAAAGGTTGCTGTCATCGGAGTGTTGGTCATGGAGGCCCAGCTGGCATTTCCAACATTGTACGGCGACAGTAGGGGTGCCTCGATCTCAGGAGCCGGGATGGTGGCCGTCTGTGTGGGTAGCGGAGAACGCAGGCCCGACGAGGCCTGGCTGAACTGTCCCATCGGCTGCTGGCCGGATGAAGACTTGGGTCGGGCAATAGGCGGCTGAGGCTCGTTACCTCGTTGAGCCCATGGCGAAGCGGGAGTCTGACCCAGGTTGTCTGTGTTGTCCGGAGCGGAGATGGTCGGTGCAACAAACGAGGAGCGGTCGCCATAAACAGCGCTATTGCGGTTGGAAGGCGGAGCGTTGCCAGTTTGCTGCGTGAACTCGGCCTTCTTCTTGGCGATGGCCGCGGCGGCATCGGGGAACATGGCATTAATGGTCGAAGAGTCCAAACCCGAGTTGCGCTTGGCACCAGGGGACGGCGGAGGGCGACCCAAGGAGTTGCGGGAGCTGTCAATGTTCAACTTTGACATCGCATCATTCAGCCTGTTGGACATCGCATCTAAAGGACAAGTCAGCCACAAGCGTAGGATAGGGATTTAGCTGCCTACATACCTTTCTCACCAAAATTGGCAGGTGACAAGAGGCCCGACATTGGGTGACTTTTGGCCATCTGCTGGAGGACCTGAATGAAGAAGCGGATCTGCACCTGCGTAGTCTGCTGCAGGAGAGCATAAAGAGCGGCGGTCCTCTCGGCCTCACTGAGGACGCGAAACCATTGTTCGATAGCACTCAGCTCGTCCTTGAAGTCCTGATCAAGCGTGGCAGCTGCCATCTCCTCCAGAGTAGTCTCATATTGATCGATATCGGCGAGCCACTGCTGAGCTGCACGATCTAACGGATCCTCCGCATTGTTCTGAGCCTGAGACTGCTGGTTATAGTACACCTCCGAGGACGGGCGGATGCTGCGAGACGACAGCGGAGACGGGAAGCCCGACATATCGGCCGACGCGCGTAGCTGGTGAGAACCCAGGTTCCGAGAAGACGATGGAGGACGAAGGGACGACTTGGAGGCGTCCGGAGTGCTGTTACGGTTGCCGATGATGTGGCTAGCCATGAGGGCAATCGAATGACGGTGATGGTGTAATTCTTTTTGCTTGAGCTGTTACAGCACTGGTGCGTGAAGAAGAAGTATTACTGCAAAACACCTGCAGTACCTGCTGAGTTTGCGCGAGAAAGAAACTCCAGACTTGAACGACAACGACAACGGAAAAGAGGCCGTATCACAATACAACAGAAGGTAAGGGCCGAGAATCTCTCTAAGGATGGAGACAGGTTTTTGCAATGGCAAAGAAACCCAACCGAGATAGCTCTAGGCGACAACGATCGGGGCACAGACCAAGCCAGTGGCTGCACTACTTGATTCGAGACTCTGCCGATTACGGATCGAACCGAAAGGGTATCGAAGGATTGTGTTCAAGGATACGTGAGAGCTCGCGTCGGAGATATCGTCGTCGATAGGAGTTGTGCAAGGCGTAGCGGACAGAGAGTCGGAATATTATCAGTGGCGATTTTGTAGTTGTAGGCTACCTTTTGGTTTGTTTTTTTCGCGTGGTATATTTTTGTCTCTTTTTTTTTTTAACGAAAGGATGTCAGGACCAACTGCAATAGTGTGTCAAACACAACAAGCAGAGGCCTGAATCATCAAAGTAAAAAGAAAAAAGGAAAGTGAGAAAAGGACGAAGAGGGTGAAAGGGAGGGGGAGGAGATTAGAGATGATGGAGGATGGACAAGAGATGGAAGAAGGAGAGAGATGGAGGAAAAGAAGAGGGAGAGGAAGAAAGGAAGAGGAAGAAGAGTTTCCAGTTTGAGGAGACAGTCGAGGCTTTTTCCGGTTGGGCGCTTTTGGTCGCTTTTTTTCCTTGGGTCAGCCATCTGCTAGTCCAACACCCAGGACAACGTAAAGCAGCTTCCATCGCTTCTGCCGTGATCCTGGACTATTCATAATTTCTTTCATCTTTTTGAGCTTTACTTTGTATCTTCTTCACGGAAGTTCATCATCTACATTACTGTGATTCCATCAGTCTGGTGAAGTCCGAGGAATCTCCTGCCCAATCAGACCGCTCGCTTGCTGTTAGCAGCTCGCATGCTATAGATAGTGGGGATCTGTTGGTATGAATTAAGCTCATGAGGATCCTTCATGTCTTTGCTTTTATGCTCTTTTGAATCAACCTCGTGGAAACCAGCCAGCATTGTCTGCGTCGAAACGAGTCTGACGCGCCTTGAATGAATGTGGATACAAGGGACAGTACCTTACTCTACTCGACTCAATCGGATACATGCCATCAGATGCATCCAGCATCGCGGTTGAGTTGCTCTGAGACCTTCTTGTGATGGTGGGTCAGTCTACTTTACACCTGGTGATACATTATTCTGCATGCTTGTGTGAATCTGCACCTGGTCATCTCTGAGCTTATCAGCACTACTCTCCTGCGTTCATGGACTGCAATTCATCTGGTTTTCTCTGCAACGTCATAGACCCGGGTGGATAGTTCATATCGGACACTTTGAAGATGGAATATCCCAGTGATGGAAATAGGTCCGGTCATCCCTCTCAGTCTCAGGAGTCCGCCTATCCTGACATTGATGAGACGATGCAGTACCCTTGGCAAGGTTCTCAGCCAGCCGTCGCAGGCGAATCCTCACTCCACTCCGTAATTGATCCTCGCCTTTACAAGGATCTTTTCTCGCGGAGCGCCTCGCAGCTACCTGGCCAGCAAGCTATGGAGTACGAGGACGAGGAGGATGTACAGGAGAATTCGCAAATGGATGACTCGGCGGAGGACTCCCCTTCTGAATTTTCAGCGGAAGAATCTTCAACGTCAGTTTGTTCATCCGAAATTGCCTTGTCCTTGATTATTGACGTTTTCTAGCGAAGAGGAGCCTTCAGACGTGGACGAGAATGCTGCAGAGGAAGGCGATGACGATTCAGTCGGTCGGAGACGACGCCGCAGAAGAGGCACGGGGCCCTTTTCTGGACGATGGGGCGCCCGTGGTGGGAAAGGAATTAAGAGAGGGCCTCGTAAGCCACTGGAGCCCAGTGCGGAATTCAAGATGCTGCACTCGGAGGCTACCTCGGCCTTTATCGATGGCGATTATGAAACCGCCATTGATCTTGTGAAGCGTGCGATCCATATCAACCCTGAGATGTTTGCTGCCCACTCGCTGCTGTCGGAGATCTTTCTAGCTCAGGGCCAGAAAGACAAGGCTCTAACGGCACTGTTCAGCGGCGCCCATACGCGACCGAGGGATGCCACGGTATGGTTCAAAGTAGCGCAAATGATACTTGATCGAGCCGGTGATGATCGTCCAGCAGCCCTGAACGATGTCATCTATTGCCTGAGTCGTGTCATTGATATTGAACCAAAGAACTACAATGCGAGGTTTCAGAGAGCTGCAGTCTATCGAGAGTTGGGCCACAACGGCCGTGCTGTCACGGAGTACGAAAGAATCCTCAAAGAGGTTCCGCATCATCCAAGGGCTCTGCGAAATTTGGCAGAAGCCTACATTGATCTCAACGAAGTTCAGAAGGCTGTAGATCAGTGGACGGACAGTGTTGAGTACTACAAGTCCTTTGAGCCGGAAGATGCTCCCGACTTTTCCTGGTCCGACGTCAACATATACGCCGAATTGTTCAGCTACCTAGGCCGATATGAAGAAGGATTAAAAGCTCTTAAGTCTGTCTCGCGATGGCTTCTTGGTCGCCGGGATGATAACATGTGGGAAAATTTCAACGAAGACGACCGCGAATGGGATGCAAACGATTCTCCTAGGCGCATCAAAGTCGATGGTTATATTCCAGGACGTTGGCCGCGAGATTCATATGGGTTGGGTCTTCCGCTTGAGCTTCGGATCAAGCTTGGTCTGTTTCGTCTGAGGATGGGCTACGATCACAAGGACGAAGCTCTGGTAAGTGCAGAGGGTTAACGCCGCTTGTGGATCTCTGATCTTTCTGACCAGGTCACAGCATCATTTCTCATGGTTGAATCCAGAAGACACCTCCGAAGGGGCTAGACTCTATGACTATGGCGACCTTTTCCGCGAGGTTGCGGATGCGCTCAAGGAAGTCGGTTTGTTGGGGGACGCCCTTCGGTATTATAAGCCGATCCAGCAGACCACCGAGTATGCCGACATCAGCTATTTCATGGCCATGGGAGACTGCTTCATGCAGCTGGGCAACATTGAAGAAGCTGAGAACTGCTATCTTACGGTAGCAGATTATGATGCAAGAAACATAGAGTCGCGTGCACAGCTCGCAAAGCTGTACGAGAGCATCGGAATGACTGAACAAGCGCTGAAGTATGTCAACGAAGCCGTCCTGCTTGGGCGACAGGAGACCAGAACTCATCGGCGGAGAAAGGATACTCGTTTGGAACAACTCGCGCTGGAGTTCAGAACCGAGACCGATCCGGAATTACCAGGTCTGAGAATGGCTGTACCGCCTGAACATGCTGAAGGGCAGGCTCCGACGCTTACCACTACTTCCGTAAGCGCTACGAGGAGAAATGTCCAAGAAGTTGAGGGAGAAAGGACAGAGCTTGTGCAGTTTTTGTATGGGAAGTTGCTGCATATTCAACCAACGGTCAAAGAGGGCAATGCCGAAGCGCTTGAGGACTGGCTTGACATCGCGGATGCTTTGCTACGTGAGTTTCGCTCCAATAAGGTGTTTTATCCTTTCCAACGCAACATCGTCTTTTTGGGTTATTCAAGGGAAGCACAAAGGAAGGCGGGAAAGTATAAAAATCGTACTCTCATGGATGAGATGCAGGAAATGGCAAGTCGTCTTCAGGAGTCTTTAGGTACGTAAAAAAGGACGTTCCGAAAAGACATGATCCGGCTTAGCTTACACTTATAACAGGCACAGTTACCGAAGAGCCTCTCCAGGATGCTGTACCAACCGACTACCATGGTATCAGCTTCGATGAGTGGCTCGACTTATTCCTGCAGTACGCTCTTGTCGTCTCAGGGCAAGGGGAGCCTGACGAAGCCTACGATAGTCTTGCAGCAGCTGCAGATGCCAGTATTTGGTATCACTCGAAACCTTCCACTCGCCTGATCCACGTCTGCTGGTTTAGTGAGTTACTCCTGGCACCTTGGTCTCGCTCGTTGGTATACTAACCCGTTCAGCATGTGCCCTGAAGGCGCAAGACGAGGAAACTCTTGCAAATGAAGCACGCTGGTTCATCAAAGAATATCAGTTCGTCACAGACACATATCGCTTATTCTCCATGCTAAGCCGTCTCTGTGGTGACCCTCACCGGTCTCTCTTCCATTCCTCACCAAACATGAAATTCATGCTGCGGCAGATCAAGGCCATGGACTTTTCCATCCCAGATGGCCCCAATGACTCCAGACCCAGCAAAGCAGTCCGCGAGTCAATCTACAAAGAGCGTGCGACGCTTACCACCCGCGACGAGTCAGGCGAAGCCATTCCCGCTGACCAACTGGACGTCGCCCTGCTTGTGCTATATGGCCACATCCTATATTCCGGCAACAGTTTCTACCCAGCTCTCAACTACTTTTTCCGCGCATACGATCTCGACGACCAGAACCCTGCCGTCCTCCTCTCCATTGCCCTCTGCTACATCCACCACTCTCTCAAACGTCAGTCCGACAACCGCCACTACCTCATCATGCAGGGGCTCTCATTCATGCACGAATACCGTCGCGTTCGCGAGCGAAAGGGAAGCCTCCTCCAGGAACGGCAGGAAATGGAATTCAACTTTGCTCGCGTATGGCATCTACTCGGCCTCGCGCATCTCGCCATCGAAGGTTACCAGCGCGTCCTGGCGATTGGGGAGCAGATCCAGACAGAGTCTCAGGGTAAGATCTCTCAGCCGCTGACCATGAACACGGGCCCAGCGGACGGTAGCGACGTCGTAATGGAGGATACGGACCATGCCGGGCAAATTGGGATTCAGTTCGTGGAGGACTTCTCGCGCGAAGCTGCCGTTGCGCTGCAGAATATCTTCGCGTTAAGCGGTGACCTGGAGTCAGCGAGGGAGGTTACGAGCAAATTCCTAGTTATATAAGGATCGCCCCGGATCCATGAGCGAA